CATTATATAATTCGACATTGTTCATGATCAAGTATTGTATCATAAATAATTTTTTTTAAGAATATCTTTACTTCACAATCGATGGTTATTCCAGATTGTAATCACACGAAGGTAAGTCACTTTCATTTCTTTTCTGTCATATAACTAATCTTGTCGACAAAAGGAATTATTTGATACAACAATACCAAATAGCATAGATTCCAAGATCAATTACAATCGATCTCTGCAAGAATTGAAAAACAGTGACCTAAAATCCAAGTAAATATCGTCGTTTTTTTTTTGACTAATAATCTATGAATTTCTTCGGCACAGAAAATCTAAATGCTTTCGTTGCAAATGTTCAAGCTTCTGCGTACTTGCATCTGTATTCGCGGCCCTTCTTCTTGGTATATTGATTTCTATCGTCATTGTTGCCGTCCTGACTACTCAGAAAACAGCAATTACAACAACAAGAACAACAGGAACAAGTGAGACTTAAATCTTTCTTGAGAAATAAAAAATTGCCTTTTTGTCTTGACCGAAATTCAAACGGAAAAAGAGCAGAAAAGGTTGATCACTTTTTATTGATAAAATAAACAGAAGACCATATCAAGTGATCATGGCTCACACTATTTCAGGATTTTCAGAATTAAACACAATCGCAGATCGCAACAAACACGTTAGTAAATTCCCTAACGTGCGACCAGCTCGATCATTTTTCACATTTTAATCCCATAAAGATTGCCTAATTGCGTGTTTTGATATTTTGCAATGGTACAAATAATATGCATATCAAATTGAATCGATAATGAAAGGTAAACACATGGAATGAAAACAAAAATTGAATCACAATAGCATAGTAAATGTAAACAGAAATTGTATACATTTATTATAATGACAAATCTGACGGATACCTTTTTTGTGGTATAGAAAGTGAGTTCCACATTTTTGTTGTTGCGGGAAGAGTTGGTTGCATGAAAGAGCTTTAGTTACAAAGAGAATTGTCTCGTGCTAGATAACATCCTCAATTTATTTCAGATTGAACAAAATTCTCACAAATAGACGATCAATTCTTGAATATTAAATAATTGACCTATCTTTTTCAAGTAGAATAGCAAGCCTATATTAGGCTAAAATTGATATGAATAATAAAGTTTCGAATCTTTTAGCACTAACCACAACCACACAAACAACGACAACAACTACAACAACAACAACAACATCATCAACAACATCAACAACATCAACAATAACATCAACAACCACAACAACAACAACATCATCAACGACGACAACAACATCAACAACAACAACATCAACAATATCAACAACAACACCAACAACAACAACATCAACAACAACAACATCAACAATATCAACAACAACATCAACAACCACAACAACTACAACATCATCGACGACGACATCACCAACAACATCATCGACGACGACATCAACATCAACAACAACAACATCAACATCATCATCAACATCAACAACAACATCAACAACCACATCACCAACCACAAGAACAACAACATCATCGACAAGCACAACAACGAGTACTATGGGCCCTGGTCCATGTATATCTATTGATCCGGCAAACACGACTTCGTGGGGTATGTGGATAGTCATACATACACTATGTAAAAAAATTATTCGGACACCCTGCTATATTTATCTTGTGAAGCGAATTTCACAAAGAAGAAAAATCATTTTCTCAACTCTGATTATATCATTCGATAGACCGAAGCTTCTACTTTACTGCACACAAAAAAACTTTTTATTTGAAAAAGTTTTCATACAGTT